AGAGAAGTACTCTAACACTCTACTCAAGCGCGATGAAAACAAAGTGTTCAATGAAAAATCTTGAATTTAAAATGTTTTGCTGAACAGAGACGGTGACGGTGCATCGTGACGGTGCATCGTGACGGTGCATCGTGACGGTGCATGGTGACGGTGCATCGTGACGGTGCATCGTATCATCGTATAAGTGATCGTACATCACACAGATGGTAAAATGATCGTACAAATACGATAACTCTCATACGTCTTAACACCATCTCTAAGTTACGAGAAGCTAAAGAGGGAGAAGTGAAAAACAGTTCTCCGTTAAAAATGTCGCAAACAAATTCTACAGCATAGTGGAAAGTTTTCTAAACTGTAAATACACATGTAAAGTATCAGTACTAGATACTAATATGTATTTAAGCCCCAGTGCCACAGAGTCACATCATCCTGAACTCATGATTAAATAAATAAAAGCCTGACACTTCACAGCTGATGCTTTTATAGTTTGAGACGTTATGACAGTTGTTTTCACCGCGTGGGTCTGAACCCTGAGCAACAACCGCTCTGCCTCCGTCCCGACCTGAGGCCTGAAGCGGCTGCAGGTTCTGTGTGTGTGTGTGTGTGTGTGTGTGTGTGGGAGAACAGGTGGACATAGTTTCTGTCAAACACACAGAGATTGATGGAGTGGGTTAGAGCGCCGGCCAAGGGGATTCTCTTACAGTAATGGCAGAGACGGAGACAGCTGGACTCAGTACATTGGACTCTGTTGTGTGCGTGTGTGTGTGTGTGTGTGTGTACATGTGTGCGTATTTGTGCAGCTCAGACTTTGTGTTTGTCCTCATCATGTATTGTGTTGTTCCTGAAACAACGAGAAGATACGAAGCCACGAGGAGACGAGAGGCAGCTGAAGTGCAAAAGTTATTCCGGGGATTTTAATGAATTCATTTCAAAGTAAAAAAAAAAAAACCTACAGTGTTTTAACGTGTTTTTTTTATGTGTGAAATAAATTTTATTATTTCATTAGAGCAGGTTGCAAAAGAATAAATAAACAAACATTGATTTAAATATATACAAATATTTAATCTATTGTGTAAACTAAGTCAAGCGTATTTTATATTGTTAGTTTTATTTTATTTTTTCACTTTTCTTATTTTTTTCTATCTTTCTGCAGTAATTTGATGTGTTTGGCGACCTCTAGAGGCCGTTGCTGGAAATGCTGCACATGATCATTCTCCATGCGGCTACATGGAGCTAATAAATCTGATAAAATTATAATATAGATTAATAAATATACAGATTAAAACACAAAGAATCAGAAGAAAATGTGACTTGACCGAGTCAGAGTTGTTTAATTTATTTTCAGATGTGGAAATGACGTCACTCACAAACGTAACCAGATGCAGACGAAGATGCTGTTTCCCTGAGTTTGACTCTTGTTAAAGTTTAAAATGATCAAATCCCTGTGAAGCTAAAGTGATTTGTTCCAGTTGTTCCATTTTAAAAAAACAGAAAATCTCTCGTGTCTCTGGCGTGACGGCCAAATCTCTGACAACCTCCAACGCAGACAAAGAGGTCTCTGCGACAAGCTGTCGCCCAAACATTTTTTTATTCTCAGTGAAGAGGTGCCACCCTCACACGAGAGCCTGACACAGTGCCGCTAACCCGATTGGCAATTTTAATCCACTCATTCCACTTCTTCAAACCGGCGGACAAAGATGTGGAGCCGTGAACCAGATGTGGGACGGTGCACGGTAGAAAAAAAAAAAAAAAAAAAAAAAAAAAAACGTGGTTTCCTTTAATTTTCACGTCCATGTGCAACAGCTGTAAAATCCACGAGTACACAAAGCATCAAATACCTGTGCTGTGTGTAGTCTGAGAGGAGTGCGTTTAATCACACATCCTTCAGAACCACTGCGCCGCACAATGGTCCAGTCAAGGCCAAGTCGCTTAAGCGATGTTTTAATCAAAGGAAAAATGCACTCAATTTAAGCAACAATGGCTTTTTTCTTCCTCTTTTTATTTTTTATTTTTTGCACAGTTTACGACAGTCACCTCTAATATAGCGTCGCTCCGTGTCCATCTGCCGGGACCTTCTGTCCAATGGGGCTGTAATTGAAAACACACAAAGAGACGACGTTGTGAAGCAGCGCTGACTGAGGTTTCTCTGATCCATAATACAAAATGACCATGATACGTTTCCTGGGGAGAGAAGAGAAGAGTTCCTGTTCTCAGACCAGCACATTGTCATGATTTATAAAAGTAATAACCATTATTATTATTATTATTACTGAATCTCTTATTTATTTGATGGAGCGCTGAAGAAGAGAAATGTACAAAATCTACAAATAAATCAAACAAATCATTTGTAGATTAAGAAAAACATTTTTCAGTTGACAGAAATTTGCGACTCTCACACGACAGATCAGTCGTTTTTATAACTTTTGCTTTGTGGGAACTTCCTCTGGTCGAAACTGAACTTTGGTCCGTTGGTCTGGTCCAAAGTTTGAGGAACTTTTCACATCGAATACTTTTGGTTCAGACTAAACTGAAAAGTCAAGAATCAAGGTTTGAATTTCCTGCTTTTTCAGTTGTGACTGAATAACAGTCAAGTCTCGTTGTGATGTCAGAGGATATTTATTTATTTATTGGCCTTAATCAGCAGAGGTTTGCTATAATTTCAAGGTTTTCCTGAATATATCAAGTTTGGATTCTGTTTTTAACAGCTCGGCTATAGGCCCAACATTTCTGACCGATATAAACTGCGTGTAAATAAACTTGCATGTTCTGCCGATAACACATATTATTAAATACTTTGTGTTTTGTATTATCAATGTCTCCAGAAGATCTGAGGCAAAGCAAGAGCTTCTTCAATCCTCTAATGAGAAACACTCAGGATACAGGAACTGGAAGTGGTCACGAGTTAATCTGTTTTATTTTACTGCATTTTACTGTCATGATTTTTTTTGCTCATTTAAAAAAACGTCACAATCTGAGGAGGAGAGGAGACGATCACAGAAGATAAATTAAAAACGGGATAAAATGATAATCAAACACATTATTACACGTCCAGCTGTGAGACTGAATATCGTTAGCAACGGGAAAAAATGTATTTTCGCCAAAGAAAAGGACACAATATGAAACCCTGAGTGATGCAGCCGCTGAAAGCAGCTTTTCTTCCTTTTTTTAGGGAGAAAGGGACGTTTCTACATTGAGGTCTGACAGTGGGATATTGATTGAGCAGCGAACCTTGGACGGCACAGAGCCTACACCTCTCGCTCGCCTCCTCTCCGTCAAGTATTGTTGTGGTCCCACTTTACGGAGGAGGCTGACCTTCAACTTGCCAGAACACAGAGCAAAACCAATACACTTAGTCTCTCAGTGAAACAATGAGATGGTTATTATAGCCCGGAAATTCACCGGAGGTTCACCGAGGGGAGAAAAAGACTAATTATTTCTGAAAACATCCATCTGCTCTTATTTGGGGAAAAGGACAAGGAGATGCGAGGCACAAAATATTACTTAAAAAAGGTTATTTAAGCTGAAGGGTGCATTAAAAGTCCATTTAATGGATTTTACATCCAGTTGAATCTGAGTTCAAAGACCCTTTTGAGCCAAACAGTGAATGTGCAGACCGTTCCAAACGAGGGTCCAGGGCAGGGACGCACACACACTCCAATTCACACAAATACAGTGGATGGAAGAGAAAACTCTTTCTGCAGCTTCAGGTTTTTTCACTGAATACAGCTGCAAATTATAAAGAGTCACATGAAGTCAGATTTATTTACACAGCTAATAAATATACAGAGAGAGGGAGAGAAAGACACAAACAGAGACAGAAGCTTGGTTTGACCAGATTGAGGGGATTGAAGTATAAAACTATATACTGCTGTTAAAATACTGCGAAAAACACTATGACAGTTAGTCCTGGATTCAAACTTATATAATATACGAGTGAAAGTATAGAACTCGGTAGATTAACTATTTAAATGTATGTTTAAGTCCTTGTTGTGCACGAAGCGTCAGACGTCTTGTGTCAAACAGTTCAGTTTTAGATATGTATGTTCAACAGGAGAGAAGAAGTATCATAAGTTGTATTCGTGTATTTTCAAACTGCAGAGGGTTTGTTTATAACATCTCCTATAACACATCTGGACGAACCTTTAAATTCGCCCTCCAGATGTTTCAGAAAATCTTTTATTTGAATCATTACGACTCATTTTCAATCTTTTGACTTGAACACAAATGTTGTTAAACAACGTTAGATTCATTGAACTGTTCAGGGATCTCAACACTTAACATTAAACTGTACTTTTATCTTTTGAACACATTAAGCTGGACGTCTGTTCTTTTCCGTTCCACGAAACTGAACCTAAACTAATCTAAACTCAGCCGTTTTGAAATCACCTGTTTGCGCTCACATGTGTTTGCTCTCGAGGACATGTGTCCCCTTTAGCTGAAGATTAACTTTATATATTGATCTCACTTGATCCAGAACAGTCTGAGGGCCGCACATCACACAACGCTCGGAAAAAGGCAACATCTGGAATTCTGTGTGCTATCACCATTGTGTTATTCGACAGGCAGCAACTGAACATCTGTCCCGGAGTGGTTAGTCGTGTCTTGCTCAGGGATATTTGACATATTTAGGCTGTTCTACGTGATGTCCTTTTGATAACACCTCCCGTACACCCCCCCACCCCCCCACCCCCACCCGAGTGACAACGAGGTCTGAACTATGTCATGTCGGGACACGTGTTTAAATGTGCGGCCTTTTAACACCACACAGGACCGTTACACATAATGAGGACGGACGTACAACGAGCGGACGTGTCGATGAGAAAACACAAAAAAGGTCGCACGATATGAAAAATGGGTTAAACCTGACGACCAGCCTCTCAAATCTACCGTAACTACAGGATGAGCAACAGAGCGGCTCTCGTTGTCATCAGGCTGCAAACTCAGAGGAGAATATTTATAATTTCCACACATTACCGAGAGGAGGACAAACTGCGATACTGCAAAGCAACACTTTGCGTCCGGGAAACAAGGATTTTGACCTTTTGATCTGTCACCGTCCTTGTCCGGCCAATGATTGACTAATGGACGAGTCGTCCTGTTTGTCCTCCCAACGCACCCAAAGGAGCTCATCAATATAACAGGAGGTTCGTCTGAGAGTTAGTCGACTATGAGCTGCTAGTTTCGGGGTCTCACCATGGACCTGTACACAGCAGCTCTGCTCCTGGGAGCCCTGACCTGCACCGGTAAGAAACAACCAGTTACAATTAGCAATCGATCCGTGAATGTGTCATGAGCAGGAAATCTAGAAAAAGAAATATGATGGACAGTGATTTGCTTCATGGTGGAAGCCCCTCGTCAGACACAGTGGAAACACAAATATAATCTGATTCTAATGATTCTGCTTCTTTCCCACTGACTGACACAGGAAATGTAATAACAACAGACTTAGATGTAAAATTATAGAATGTAAAGTTGTTTAATAACATTTAATTCAAGATGTCTGGCAGATTCATTTAGTTTAGTTTTAATCTAACATGGTGTTAAAGTTTCCACCTGATAATCTAACTTACTGATTACAACATTTAGAAAAATAAGAATTAAAGATTCGTTAACCTTTGGATGGATCAGGATCATTCGTTGCTCTCCAACAACCACAGGCCTCAGATTTGTCAATGAGGTTCTTTTTTATCACTTTTACTCGTCCAACTAAAACCAGAGTTAGGGGCTGAGTGTGAATCTACCTTCTGTTTATTATTATCTATCACATTTGATTACAGTGAAAGTTCATTCTGATTTTAGTGAGTGGTACAGAGACCGAGGTGAGCGGCTACGCCAAAACGGAAGGGGCGTGGATCCTCTCGTTGAACAAGCGACAGTACACAGTTAACACTTTGGCTGAATGTGCCACCAAATGTGACGGTGAAACCACCTTCACCTGCAAGCAAGTTCACACTCTGTATATTTCACCTGTCACAGTTTTAACTGAATTCAAGACTCAGCACCTCAACCTGACTGTGTTTCTCTCACAGGTCCTTCATGTACGTTGAAAAGGACCAAGAGTGTTGGACGGCAACGGCGAACTCCAAATCAGAGACGATCCTGCGTAGAAGCAGTGCAGCTTTATTTGAAAAACAAGGCGAGACTTTCTGCTCCAGATTCGATTTTTTGTAACGTGAAATGTTTTCTGCTCATCACGCCGTGGTTAATGTTTAGTCTGATCTGCATGATCGCCGATGTTTGGACTGTGTCTGCAAACACGGTGGAGAGGGACGGTTAAGTTAAACAGCACTGTGGGGACGAAACAACACGAGTTGCATCACACACATGATTCACTCGGTTGGGGGGGGCGGGGAGTCTGATGAATTTGATCAGCAGATCAATATTTACAACAGTGAGCAGGTCAACAAACGCTCCGCCTAATTAGCAGCTTGGTTTTCATCGGTGATGAAATGTGATGCTGACTGTGCGCTGTGCTGTGTGATTGTTTCTCCTGTAGAATACCTCCTGGAGTGTGTAAATGGACTGGGAACAGATTACAGAGGAACAAAGTCCAGATCAAAGTCAGGAAAGACATGTCAGAGATGGGATGCGAAATTCCCACATAGGCCAAAGTATGTATTCACGTGTTTTATCGTCTCACATCACGTCATCGTGCCGTTTCACATCTTCTCACATAATTTCTCTCAACGTGTCAGTATGACACCAGATTCTCACCCGCTAGCAGATCTGGACTCTAACTTCTGCAGAAACCCTGATGGAGACAGCGGGGGACCCTGGTGTTACACCACCGACCCCAACACCCGGTGGGAGCACTGTAACGTAGCCAGCTGCACTGGTGAGATCGATCTGCGAATAATATAATATAATAACAGCAAAACAATCTCTGAATGAAACCACGTTTAAATTCACTGGATCCTGATTTATTTATTTATTGTATTCATTTATTTCAGTCTCCTGTGTGTGTTAGATTTTCTAGCATCAGGATCCAAGAATTATTATCTGAGAAATTAATGAAAAAGTTGAAAAAAGATCCAAACCCTGATACTCTAAGTAATAAAATACATACTGTGTGTGTGTGTGTGTGTGTGTGTGTGTGTGTCCTACAGAGGAGTGTATTCACTGCAGTGGTGAGAACTACAGAGGAAAAATCTCCACCACTGAAAACGGCTTCACTTGCCAGCGCTGGGACTCCCAGGCACCTCACAACCACGGATACTTCCCCAGCGCGTAAGACCACACAACCTACACCTGAATTTACGAATCAACCATCAGCAGGATTTACTGAGATTCAATTCACACACACACACACAAGAGATTTTCTAAAGAACACAGTCCTATTCGATCTTTTTCTGCAGCCTCCCAGAAAAGTATCTTGAAGAGAATTACTGCAGAAACCCTGATGGAGACCCCCAACCCTGGTGCTTCACCACCAGTCCATCCAAGAAGTGGGACTTCTGCTCCATCCCCCGCTGCAGTAAGTCTTCCTCTGTTTCTATTTTTAAAACAAGGATTAAGAACGATGAGTAGATTCATTGATCAGTACATAAAAAAATCTAATTATCATTTCTCAGGTAAAAGTTTAGTGTTTTAACCATTAGTCAATTAATGATGAAATGGACTTTAAATATAATACAGCTGTTTCTAGAAGACAATAACTGACACGGTGTCGACATTTCAAACTGTCCTCAGCCTCTGAGCCTCCCACCATTGTGCCGGAGCTGACCTGTGCCACAGGTGAGGGCGGAGCCTACCGAGGCACCGTAGCTGTGACCGTGTCCGGCAAAACCTGCCAGAGCTGGTCGGCCCAGACGCCACACAAACACAACCGCAGCCCAGAGAACTACCCCTGCAAGTACGAGCTCACACTAACGACATAACAACCACAAACGAGTCGCACAAACAAAACGAATAAAGAAGTTCAGATGAGAACATGACATTCTTCCCGGTGACGGCATATTTATTTGTCAGAGGCCTGGATAACAACTACTGTCGTAACCCTGACAACGAGAGGATGCCCTGGTGTTACACCACCGACCCCGAGACTCGCTGGCAATACTGCAAGGTGCCGAGCTGTGGAGACGCACCCGGACCAGGTACCAGACATCAGCAAACTGAGTTACATAGCACAACTGTTTGGTGATGTAATACAACTTATAGCAGTGGTTCTGTGGGATGATTTCAATAAATCAATCACTATTCGGAGAACAATTAAAAATACAATATTTTAGCCACAATTGTTACAGAAGTGAAGAAGACTTTTGGGGTTGGGGCTGAAAGTTTTGTGAATCCCTGATTTTCTGAAGTAATGATTAATGGAAGCTAATGGACAAAAGATGAAAACAATAATGTGGTGAGACAAAGGTGTTTGAATTAATGAATTCCACTGTTAAATCTGAATGTACCTCAGTTTACCTCAATGCAACCTGTATTCTCGTCTCCCTCAGACGAGCCCATGATCCCCCCTGAGGAGGGGGAGGACTGTTACGTGGGGGATGGGTCGAGTTACCGTGGCGTCACATCAGAGACCATCAGTGGAAAGAAATGTCAAAGCTGGCACTCCATGAGTCCTCACAGCCACACAAAGACTCCACAGACGTACCCCACAGCGTGAGTCTGTCAGTTACTGTCCAGTTCAAGCTGAGAGAAGGTTTTAGTGGCAAACAATGAATAAGTGTTTTCACAAATCATTTGAAGACTGTAGAACCCGGAGGCTGCCCTGTAAATGGTTCAGTTTCAGAGGTCTCGTCATTTTCACAACTCCGTGCCGCTCAACGCAGCGGAATGTGTCCGAGAAGTCAGACTGAATCAGAGAAAACGAGTCTCATGCTGGAGAAGCCAAAGTGGCTCAGACCCACAGCGAGCTACATGTGACTGGCGTGTTGGGTTGTCACATATGTGATGAATGACGTGTGAGGATCAGCCAACGAACACAAAGGGTATTGGTACTTGCTGTTCTGACGTTCCAGAGTTTCTCTTTTCACAGGGACCTCACGAGGAATCTTTGCAGGAACCCAGACGGAGACCGAGCTCCCTGGTGTTACACAACAGACCCTAGTGTCCGTTGGGAATATTGCAACTTGGAAAAATGTCCCATCATTTCTTCAGGAACGCCACCACCCAAACCCGCTGTACCCCAAACCCCTTTCACCGTCACCCAGGCCCCAACGGTGAAAGGTCATTTACCTTGAACGTCAGAGTTTGAGATTTCTTGTTTATATTTTAAAATCCCATACTCACCCCCTGGTTTCTCTTTGTGCTGCCATGTCAGACTGTAAGATTGGAAATGGAGGAACATACCGAGGTTCCACCTCCGTCACTCTCCTGGGTGTGACCTGCCAGGCCTGGAGCGCTCAGAGTCCTCACCAACACAACAGCTTCACCCCACAGACCCACCCCACCAAGGGCCTGGAGGGAAATGTAAGTGTGATGCATTCACACCCGCAGACGTCTCACTGTTGAGATGAATGTGGACAGCCGGAAAAGTCATGATGGCATTTTCTGATGAACTGATCCTTGTTTGTCACAGAGCTGCAGAAACCCAGATAACGACGTGAACGGGCCGTGGTGCTACACTACCGACATCAACAAGAAATGGGACTACTGTGAGATCCCTGACTGTGGTACGTGAACATTATTTGCGTCTCTTGGGCAGTTTGTTCCAGATTTGTCCCAAGTGATCACAGTAACCGCTGGAAAGATCGCAATGACATTTTTTTAATGGTTTCCTCGCTGATTGATTATTCTGCTAATGATAGAACATGATGACCATACATCTGTACAATCAGAACGACCTAAAGGGTCTGTGACCTATACTGTAACTGGCCGCCAGGGGGCGATACCGCTGACTTCTAGTTAATCTTTACATAAAACTTAACAATTTCCTCCCAACTAATGGTAAAGATTCAGTCACAATCAGTTTTTTTCTCCATCCAATACTAAATAACAGCTGGACTGAACTGCGGTTCACCATTGACCAAACCCAGGCGTTGTTTCGGTCGTATTGTCGGAGGCTGCGTATCTAAAGCTCACTCGTGGCCGTGGCAAATCAGCCTCAGGACCAGGTGAGTACACCAAATTATTATCACAGAAGACCAAAAAATTACGTAATTATACCGTTCACCTTAAATCTATTATCGTTTGTCTCTCTTTAGCATTTCACGAGATCATTTCTGTGGCGGAACTCTGATCGACCGTCAGTGGGTCCTCACCGCTGCACACTGTCTGGAGAGGTCAGGGAGACTCCGAAACATCGCAAGACCAAATCCTGCCGTAAAACAACCACTGGCTAACTGGTGTGTGTGTGTGTGTGTGTGTGTGTGTGTGTTGGTGAATGTTATGAACCGTAGGTCCAAGCGGCCTGAAGCGTACCTGATTATCCTGGGAATCCACACCGAGCGAGCCAACGAGCCGTCCAAACAGGAGAGGAGGTTGCAGAAACTGGTGCTGGGACCCAACGGAGCCG